CCTTCACCGACGAATGTTGTGGCCGCGCGGGGTCAAGGGACTCACTCTGGTCCGTCTCTCTCCCCCCCCCTCTCCCTCTGCTCGGCCAGCGTGGACTGGAGCGCCGGTGGACTGATCGTCAGCGGGGCGGCCGACGACACCTTGCGGATATTCGCCCTTGTGCGTACCCCTCTCCAGTGTGGGGAACTTTGGTGGTGGTGGGGGGGGGGCAATTTGAAGGAAATGTGTGTGTGTGTGTATTTCTGTATACGTCGTTGATGGCGGCGGCGGCGGCGGTGGCGGTTCTTCTCCTCCTCCTCCTTCGCCTTCCTTCGACTTGCCTTGCAGGATGCCGCTTCTTCGAGTGCGGACGGGCACCAGGAGCCGTACAGGCTGCTCTGCGAGAAGACGCAGGCGCACTCCTCGGACATAAACTGCGTGCGGTGCGTGCCTCCCTCCCCAACGGCCAGCGCGCGCAGGCCCAGAACGTGGAGCCCATGGCTCTGCACACGTGTGCTCATCATCGCCGGTCTGTGTGGCAACACAAGTGTAGGTGGTGCCCCACGGACCCCACCTTGTTGGCGTCGTGTGGGGACGACAACGCCGTGCGCATTTGGCAGGTCGCCAGGAAGGCTTGAGTCAAGGCTCAAGCGGTCCACATATGGATCTGAGCCGTGCGCACGGGGTGCTTGCTTGCTTGCTTGCTTGCTTGCTTGCTTGTGTGCAAAACAAACGACATATATGGCCTGCAGCAGCAGCAGCAGCAGCAGCAGCAGCAGACCTTTGGACCTGTTCCCCTCCTCCTGCAGGAGCTGCTTGCCAGACCTGACCTTTTTTTCTTTTTCTTTTTCTTTTTCCCATCCCGCCAAAACTTTTCTGTTGGTCTTTTCTTTTCTGCCGCCACCCTCCCGCGAATTCAATTCATCCTTCCTGCCCTGACCAGAGTACTTCCCAGCGGCGACGATTGTTTGCGACCGGAATCTCTTAAGGCATAAGACGAAGGCGAGCGAGAATGAGCAGCAATTCTGAGGATGATCGTGATGATGACCTCGATGAAGTGGAGGATGACGAGGTGAGCGAAGATATGGACAGCGAGGAGGAAGAGGAGCGCCGGCCGCCGAGCTCGGCGGGACGTAAGAGAGGCGGCGAGGATGGAGGGGGGCGAGGAGGAGGCGGCGGGGCAGCGGCCAAGAGGCGGCGGCGCAGCGGGGGTGCGGGCGATGTGAGCCGGTTCTTCGAGCTGGAGGCCAAGGACACGGACGAGGAGGGGTCGGAGGAGGAGGAGGAGGTGGAGGAGCTGTTTGCCGACGAGGCGGCCGAGGCCGAGGCGCTGGCGACGGCGACGCGGGAGCGGGAGCGCACGCGGCGGGCCATGGTGGCCGAGGCGCTGGGCGGGGAGGACGGGGAGGAGGACGTGCGGGCCAAGGCGCGCGAGCTGGAGGAGCGCTACCGCTACTATGGCCGGGCCGAGTACGGCGGCGGCGAGGGCGGGGCCGAGGAGCGGGGCGAGATCGCGCAGCAGAGCTTCCTGCCCTCGGTGCGCGACCCCAAGCTGTGGCTGATCAAGTGCAAGAAGGGCAAGGAGCGGGAGACCGTCGTCTGCCTCATGCAAAAGTACTTTGATGTGGATGGCACTGATCGCCAGCTGCTCATCAAGTCGGCCTCGTGCGCCGACAATCTAAAGGGCTACATCTACGTCGAGGCCGAAAAAGAAATCCACGTCAAGCAGGCCATCACGGGACTGCGCAATCTCATCGCCTGGGATCTCAAGCTGGTGCCCCTCAAGGAGATGACGGCCATCTTCACCGTGGCCAAGAAGGCGCTCAACCTGCGCCGCGACGCCTGGGTGCGCATCAAGCGGGGCACCTACAAGGGCGACCTCGCCCAGGTGCTCGACGTCGACGAGACCCGCGCGCGCGTTACGGTGCGGCTGATCCCGCGGCTCGACCTCACCAAGCTCCACAGCGTGGCCGACCTCGACGACGACGAGGACGACGATGACGCCACGGCCAAGCGCAAGCGCAAGACGCGCCCGCCGCAGCGCTTCTTCAACGACGAGGAGGTGCGCAAGCTGGCCGGCAGCGAGGTCGAGTCGCGGCCGTCGGGGCGCGGCGGCAAGTACTTTGTGTTTGCCATGCAGAAGTTCAAGGACGGCTTCCTGCACAAGCCCATGAACATCAAGAGCCTCGAGACCGACAACATCGAACCCACCCTCGACGAGCTCCAGAAGTTCCAGGCCCCGCCCTCGTCCCTGGCCGGCGGCGGCAACGGCGACGACGACGACGGGGCGGGCTCGGCGGCGGTGGCGCTGTCGTCGACGCTGTCGGCGCTGGCCAAGTCGCAGCAGCAGGGCGCCGGCGCGGGCGGCAAGAAGCGCGGGGCCACGTTCATCAAGGGCGACGCGGTGGCGGTGGTGGAGGGCGATCTCAAGCACCTGATGGGCATCGTCGAGTCGGTGAGCGACAACATGGTCACCATCCTGCCCAAGCACGAGGACCTGCGCGACCTGCTCACGTTCCCGGCCGAGCAGCTGACCAAGTACGTCAAGATGGGCGACCACGTCAAGGTCATCTCGGGCCGGTTCGAGGGCGAGACGGGCCTCATCCTGCGCGTGGACGGCAACATCGTCACCATCTTCTCCGACCTCACCATGAAGGAGATCCAGGTGCTCGCGCAGGACATCCAGGAGGCCACCGAGGTGGCCGCGGGCAACCTGCAGCTGGGCAACTACGAGCTCCACGACCTGGTCCAGATCGACCCGCAGACCGTGGGCATGATCGTCAAGGTCGAGCGCGACTCCTTCCGCATCATGGACACCGCGGGCAAGGTCACCTCCTACCCGCTCCAGGCCATCCAAAACAAGCGCACCAACCGCCACGCCGTCGCCTTCGACAAGAACCAGAGCCAGGTCACCGTCGGCGACGTCCTCCAGGTCGTCGAGGGACCGCTCAAGGGCCGCCAGGGCACCGTGCGCCACATCCACCGCTACTTTGCCTTCCTCCACTCCAACGCCGTGCTCGACAACACCGGCATCTTCGTCGTACGCGTCGCCAGCACCACCGTACTCGGCGGCGGCAAGAACCGCGCCCGCCCCGGACCCTCCCCCTCCGCCCGCGGCGCACACTCGGCGGCCGGCGGCGGCGGCTACGGCCACGGCCACCACCCGATGTCCGGCATGCCCAGCCCCTCCCGCTCCCTCATGAGCCCCTCCCGCTCCCTCGGGAGCGGCCCGCCCGGCGGAGGCCCCCGCGGCCGCCCACAGGATCCTGCCGGCGGACGAGGTCGCGGCGGCGGCCGAGGCCGAGGGCGCGGGCGCGAGGACAGCCTCATCCACAAGACCGTCACGGTCGGGCGAGGCCCGTGGAAGGGCTACGTGGGCATCGTCGTCGACGCCACCGACAACAGTGCCCGCGTGGAGCTCCACACCAACTGCAAGACCGTCAACGTGGACCGCACCTTCCTCACCATCATCGACGCCGAAGGCCGCCGCGAGCCCGCCACGGCCGCCGGAGCCGCCTCGGGAGGCTTCCAGGAGGGCGTCCCTGCGACTCCCTCGTGGGCCTCCTCCCGCACGCCCATGCGCGGCGACGGCGACGGGTCCGCCACGCCCATGCGGGCCGGCACGCCCATGCGGTCCAGCACGCCCTCCCACGACGCCTGGAACCCGACGACGCCTTCTCGCGCCACCTCGTGGGACGACAACCCCGTTGGCCACCACCCCAACGAGTACGGCAGCATCGGCGGCTCCTACGGCGTCGCGGCAGGCGGCTACGCCCAATCCTCCTCATCGTCGTCGTCGTCGGCGATCACACCCTTCTCGCCCTTCTCCCCGGCGCCGGTGGGCCGCGACCGGGATGATCAGATGTTGCTGCCGCGCACGCCCTCGGAGGGCATTTACAACCCGGCCACGCCCTCGGGGGGCTACACGCCCCACTTCACGCCCATGGAAAGCCACTACACGCCTGACCAGCCCACCCCTCGCGGAGGACCCAACGAGGTGTCGACGCCCGGCTACACGCCCTACACCGCCACGCCCCAGGCCTACCCCGCCACGCCGGCCACCCCCGGTATCCCGCAGACGCCCGGCACGCCCGGCATGATGTCCCTCCCGTCTCTTGCGCGCGCCTCCGCGCCGGCCACGCCCGGCATGATCAGCTACGACTCCGACCGAGTGGACACGACCAACACCGTCGCCGGCGGCGTGATGTCGACGGACGAGCCATGGACCACCGAGGGCATCGAAGTGCGCGTGAGCGACGCCTACCGCGGCGGGCAGTACAGCCAAGCTAGCGCCGTCATCACCTCGGCCGGCCGCGACTCATGTCGGGTCACCGTGCGCGACAGAGACGGCAACGACCTGGAGTCGCTCTCCATACCTTCCCCCTACCTCGAACCCGTGGTGCCCGCCAAGAAGGACCGCGTCAAGGTCATCCGCGGCGAGCTCAAGGGTAACGTCGGCCTCCTCGTCGGAATCGACGGCAGTGACGGTATCGTGAAGATGGAGCCCAATCTCGACATCAAGCTTCTCGCCCTCCCTCTCCTCGCCCGCTATCACCACCGTAAATAGATCACCACCTCTTCTTCCCCGCGTTCTCTTCGCCGGTGATGGCGCAGCTCTCGTTACTCTCTCTCTCTCACACTCTCTCTCTGTGTTTTTGATTGGGACGACCCCAACAAACCCCAATCATTGGGGTCGGTGGTGGCGGTGAGATCTTGCAAGCTACCTGCGGTGGGCAGGCTGGTTGATGGCCTGATGCACGTAGTCCACCACTTGGCTCGTCGGCGCTTGGGCCAGGCTCTGCAGCAGGAAGGAATCGAGCGTCACGGGGAACACCACCGCCGCCATCGCCGAACCGCTTCGCTCAGCTTCAGTCCTCGCGGTCTCTGCCTTTTGCCAGGCGTCCAACGCCTTGAACATGTCCTGTGTGTCGTTGGTCGGTCGTATACATATGCGTCCGTGGGGCAGGCAGCCCGGTCGGGTAAGTTGCCGGAACAAAGCGGAAGGGAGGTGCGGGCAATCGTACGTCCATCTCCTCGAAGAACGAGAGGGCATGCTGACGAAAAGTGGAACTCAACGTATCGGCGGCTGCAGCGCCCGGGCGTGCTTTGCTCACGCTCGCCGGAGGAGAAGAATCCGTGAGCTGCGGTGATCCACAAGAAGCGTCAGGCGTTGTCGGGAGGGACAACACCGGCACCCGCTTCAGCTGTCTGTGCAGGGAAAGAGCGAAATTGGTGGTGGTTCCCATAAACATCGAGCGAGCCTCTCTGAGCATGGGTGTGCATGCGTGCACTGTGTGGTGTGTGTGTGTGCGTGCGTGCGTGTGAACATACGCTTGCAGATCCTTCTGCGCATGGCGCATGCTGTCCTTCTTCAGGCAGAATGCGCGAGCGAGAGCCACGCCCACGCAGCGATGGCACACGGAGGCCCGCAGCTTATCCTTCTGCAGATGGAGGCGGACCGTCATCGTCAGCCTCAGCCACGCTCGCGGAGATCTATGCATGACATAAAAAAATACACCGGCTAACGTACGTCGTGGGTGGCGATTTTGAGGATGTCGTCGAAGAATTTGGCGGTGCGTTTGTACATGTGGGCGGCGTTCTTCAGCGGGGAGTTGTGCTCGGTGGCCTCTTGCTCGAGTTGGTGGCAGCACTGCAGGTATTTGAGGCCAGCTTCTATGTACAGGCCGAGAGCCTCATGCGCTCCGTCCGTTTTCATGGCCTTGTCGGCCGCACGCTTCAGCGTGTTGGCCTCCGACTTTAGGCCGTTGCTGCTGGTGGTGGTGGTGGTGGTGGTGGTGGTGGTGGTGGTGGTGGTCGTGCTGCCTCGCCTAAAAGTGTCCGTGTGTCACGACACACACGACACACACGCAGAGAGAGAGAGAGAGAGACGGTGAGGCCTCGTACGGAGATGCTGCTGCTGCGCATGCGTGGCCAGATGAGAGGGAGCGGCGGCGCGTACGAGGAATGCGCCTCGCCAGCAGCGGGAGGCCCCACCGCCTGGTCCGGCTTGCCTGCCGCTTGTGGCCCCGCGCTGCCACCTTCTATGATGACGGAGACCACCACCAACGCGCACACACGACACACATGCACGAGACACGGTTGGACGGCTCCACACGGACAGCCGCAGCAGCAGGGCCAGCGTCAGGGCGGCCACGACGCCATCAAGGCCGTACCTTTGGAGAAGGGCAGCTGCGGTTTGGCGGATGGCTTGGGTGTCGTCGTCTTGGCGGCGGCGGCGGGTCGTGTGGTGCGCTCCTTGGGGAGGGGTTCGTCCTTGGGCGGGGCGCTCCTCTCGCTCCCTCGCGCACGTTCTCGCTCCTTGTGTCGCTGCTGCTGCTCCCTCCGCTCCCGCAGGTCGGGGCGTGGGTCGGGGTCGCGACGCTCCTTGCTCTCGCGGGGCGAAGTCCGTTCCCTGCTGTCGCGGGGCTCCTTGGCCTCTCTGTCGCGCAGGAGCTCCTCGCTTCCCGCTTCCCGCTTGACGCGCTTGGGCTCCGGCTCTTTGCCCCGCCCCTTGTGCTGCTGCTCGCCTCCTCCTCCTCCTCCTGCCGCCGCCGCCGCTGCTGCTGCTGCCCTGGCTGACGACGACGACGACGAAGCCGCCGCCGCCGCGTCGCTGGCGCGTCTGGGCCGGTCGTGGGAGGAAGGGGCCTCCCGCTTCCGTTTGTGTGCCTCGCCCGCCGAGGACGACGATGACGACGTGGGCGAACGCTCCCGGGAGGGCGGGGAGCTCGTCGTTGGCGAGTGGGCCTCCTCGCGACGGCGCTGCTGCTGGCGATGGCGCAGCACCCGGGCCGGCGAATCGCCGTCGGCGGCCTCGCCCCCCGCAACAACCATCGGTGGCGAATGTGCTGAGAGCTCCTCCAGGCCCGGGCGGACAGGGGAGGCAGCGCCCGCCGGCCCGTCACGCAGTGGCGACACGAGCGGAGACCCGAACGGCATCGACACCATTTCCTGTCGTGCACACACACGGCACGCACGGCACCGCCAGGAGACGGACAAGCAGGGCCTCCCCACGTCAGTGGTCTCGTCCACGTCATGCTCCGACCCACTGCCAAACGTCGCACGGCACACGGCACACGACACACGGCACACGGCACACGACACGGCAGGGCAAGCGCATGCACATAACCCTTCCTCGCTGCTGCTGCTGCTTATGCTGGCCCATTGCATGCGAGGCGGGCAATCACGGCGTTTTGCCCACGGCGTGTTTTTTTGAGAGGCCATTGGGGGGGGGAGAGGGGGCTGTGTGTCGTACCTGCACCAGCTTGAGGGGCGACGAGGAAGAGGGTCGTCCTGCTGTGGCAGCCCCGTGGGTGGTGGCAGACTTGTTGCTGTTGTTAGTCCCTGCTGTGTCATCGCCGCCACCGCTGCCCCTCTGCTACCAGCAGCAGCAGCAGCAGCAGCAGCCATGAATCCCCCGGGGTGTGGTGTGAGGATCCGGGGTAACCGCCGCGTTGGATCAGATGGAGAAGGAGGCAAGGGGCATACCGAGGAGGCGGGCAGGGAGGGCTTGTCTTTGTGGAGAGAACGCGAGTGCCTGGTCCGTTACCCACCCAACCCAACCCAACCCGCAAAGTGGTGTACCGCGCCACGGTTGGCTTTGCTGCTGCTGCTGCTGCTGCAAATGGGAGGAAGGAGGGCAACGCACGAGGAAGGGTCATTGGGAGGGGTTGTGGCAGATGAGGAGGAGGAGGATGAGGGGGTGGTGGGTGAGCAGCGTCGCTTCAGTTGGGCCACGGCAGAGGCTGAAAACTGCTTGTGGGGCAGGAACGACCCGTATTCATCCGCCAGGGGCTCGCCAAATGGCCCACCCCCTTCGCGCTGTTCGCCACGCCCTGCCATGGGCCTGCCTTTTTTCCGTAATCTCTTCCCCTCTACACCCACCTACACGGCTGACTATCTACCGTTTGTGTGAGTAGAAAAAAAGAAATGAAAGGAAATGTGCGGTCGCAGATAAAAAGTGTTCTTTGCTTTTGTCGTGGGCAAAAACAGTTCCGTGCTAGGGCCTCACTGCGGCGGCAGCTCCTCGGAGGCCACGGTGGAGGTGGAGGCGGTGGAGGTGGAGGTGGAGGCGGTGGAGGTGGAGGTGGTGGAGGTGGTGTCCGAGTTGCGTGCGGCGGCTTCGAGGATGGAGTTGAGGCGAGCGAGCATGGAGCGCGGGTCGTCCATGAGGCCGGCGGCGATGAGGGCGTTATCAAAGACCTGCTCGGCGACGGCCTTGGCGAAGGAGGGCTCGCGGCGGCGGAGTGAGTTGAGGCGGGTGATGATGGGGTGGGCGGCGTTGATCTCCAGGCGCTGCTTGGGGAGCTTGGGCGCGCGCGACGGGTCGACAAACTTCATCATGCGGCGGAAGGAGGCCGACTCGTGGTCGACGATGATGGCGGGCGACGACACGAGCCGCTTGGTCTCCTTGACCGAGGAGACGCGGTCGAGGAGGGTGGTCTTCATCCACTTGGCCAGCTCCTCGACCTCCTGCGGGTCGAGCGAGAGCTCGCCGGCGTGCGCCTGCGGGGAGGAGGAGGCGTCGTTGTTGTTGTTGTTGCCGGTGGTGGTGGAGGCGGGGCGTGCGAGTTCGGCGGGGAGCTGTGCGGACTCGATGGAGAGGATGCGCTTGCCGGCGTACTCGGCGAGGTTCTGCATGACAAAGTCGTCCATGGAGGTGTAGAGGAAGAGGACCTCGACGCCGCGCTGCTTGAAGGCCTCGTAGTAGGGCGAGCTCTCGGCAAAGGTGCGCGAGGGCACGCACAGGTAGTAGATGGCCGTCTGCTGGTCCTGCATGCGCTTGGCGTAGGCCTCGAGCGAGGTCACGTCGCCTTCGCCCGTGGCCGACGACTCACAGCGCAGCAGCCCGCCCAGCTCGTCCTTCCACTTGGCGTCGGTGCAGATGCCCTCCTTGATGAAGCTCCCGTACTCCTTCCAGAACTTGGCGTTGTACTTGTCCGGGTCGCTCGCCGCCTCGTCCTGGAACAGCTTGAGCAGGCGCCCCGTCACCACGTTGCCCAGCCGCTTGATGAGATCGCTGTCCTGGAAGTGCTCCCGCGACAGGTGCAGCGACACGTCCTCGCAGTCCACCACGCCCTTCATGAACCGCAGCCAGTCCGGCACCAGCGCCTTCATCTTGGGCTTCACCAGCACCTTGCGCGAGAACAGCGACACGCCTGGATCCATGCGACCCATCCCGTACTTCTCCTGGTGCTGCTCTGGCACGTAGAACAGCGACTGGATCGAGAACGGCGCATCCGACGTGAAGTGCAGCCTGTCACGCACACGCACACGCACACGCGGGTGACGGGGTGGGGGGATGAGGAGGAGGAGGAGAGAGAGAGAGAGAGCGGTTTCTCTTCAGAGACCCCCATACCAGCGCGCAAGTGGCGGGGCGGAGCAGCAGGAGGAGTGGGTAGTAGGAGTACCGGTAAATGGGCAGGTCATAGGAGTGGGCCAGGAATTGGTAGAACTGCTTGTGGTCCTCCTCGCTGATGCTTTGCTTGGGCAGCGTCCACAGCGGGCGCACCGTGTTGACCCTCTCCCCGTTGAGCTTGATGGGGAAGCCCACAAAGTTGGAGTACTTCTTGATGATGCCTGGTGGGTGGGTGGTTAAGGTCGCCAGTCAGTCAATCAGTCACTCGGCATGGTTGCGTCCCTCCCCACACGTGACGCACAGGCATCTATATCTATATATATATATATACACCACCGCACACGCGGGAGGAAGGGCGTGTATCGCGTACTGTCGATCGTCTGCTTCTTGGCAAAGTGCTCCTGGCCCTCGAGGAGCTGGATGATGATCTTGGTGCCGCGGCTCACCCCCTCGGCCTCCGCGATGGTGTAGGCGCCCGTGCTACAGTGGGTGCCGGTGGTCGCGACATGGTGAGACGTGGTTGGGTTGAGGGTTGGCACAGGAAAAGGTCAAGGCGGGTCCGTCCAAGGAGGAGGAGGGGTTACCCATCGGAGGTCCAGCAGTAGCCCTTGGAGCCGGGGGCGGCGGAGCGGGAGTAGACCTTGACGCGGTTGCCGACCATGAAGGCCGAGTAGAAGCCCACGCCGAACTGGCCGATGATGTTGGAGGCGTCCTTGCCCTCCAGCTGTCGGAGGTACTCCTGGGTGCCCGAGTGGGCGATGGTGCCCAGGTTCTTGATCAGCTCCTCCTTCTTCATGCCGATGCCAAAGTCCTGGATGGTGATCGTCTTGTTCTTGTCGTCGGTGGCGATGTGGATCTCCAGCGGGAGGTACTTGTCGTCGTACTCCTTGCCCGTCACGTCCAGGTGCCTCAGCTTCTCCGACGCGTCCGACGCGTTCGAGATGAGCTCTCGCACGAACACCTTTGTTCAGACGCAGGCACGCAGGCACACGTCCCCACCGGCGCCGCAGCACGCGCAGTCAGACACCGCGCACGCGAATTGAGGACAGCCCCCAAGGAGGTACAAAGGCGCGTACCTCCTTGTCGGTGTAGAGGGAGTGGGCGACGATGCGGAGGAGCTTGGCCGTTTCCGACTGGAAGGGGAGCGTTTCGGCCTGGCCGGAGACGGTCTCGGTCTCCTCGATGAGCGTCTCCTTGCCTTCCTCGGCCTCAGACACAGCTCCGCCAGCGCGGGCAGACTCTGGCGTGGCCGCCGCCTCGGCCGTACGAACGAGCTCCGCCTCTTCGGGCTCCCGCGCACCAGCAGCGCGCATCCCGATCGCCGTGGAGCGGTAGGCTCGCTTCGCGCCTGCGGTGTGGTTCACTGGCGTCGGGCACGCCAGCACAAAAGTCACAACACACACACACACACACACAAGGGCGGTTAGCATTCATTTGTCGCGTGCCGTTCGCCCCCCCACCAAGGAGGGAAACGGCAAGAATGGGCAGCAGCGGCCAACCAGCAAGAGGGGGGGGCAGAACATACCTTGCAGTGCCGACGGCACGCAAGAACGAGAGCGACGTCCCACGACGACGACCTTGTTGTGTGTCCCAGCAACCTCTGCCTGATAAAGGGAGAGCAGAGGTGAAAGGGGGCGAGGCGGGACACTGTGAGCACGCCGCCGCACAAGTCTTAGGGTTTCGAACCCCCCTACGGATGCTAGCATCATCCGGAGATCCACCAAATTGGAGATGGGGAGGGGGTACCAGAGGACGCGCGGGGACATGATGGGCAGGAGCAGGAGCACGAAGCACTGCGCGGTGGGGGCGGCTACTATTCTTGACGGCAGCGGAGCGCATGGCAGGCAGGCAGGCAGGCAGGCACGTACGTGGAGTGTCTCGCTCTACTACTGAAGAGGAGCAGCACTCGGGCTCCGGCCTTTTCTTTCCTCGGCGTCGGAATTCGGGTGACGTCACGGTTCTGCCCAGGAAAAAAGTCGAGAAAAGTCGGTCGTGCAGGTTTTGTTGAGTATCAATCAATCAGCGGCAGCGACATGGAAGGTGCGGGCAAGCGAAAGCGTAACGATGTCGAAGGAGAGGACAAGGAAAAGGAAGCAGGCCCGAACCATGCCACCAAGGAGGGCAATGAGGAGGTAGCGCCCCACGCCAAGCAGCCCAAGATGGACCCCTCGCCCGCTCCTGCCGTCGGTCCACCGCGACCCACTGGCGAAGCCTCAAGCGCTAAGAAGCAGAAAAAGAAGAAAGGTAGAGCTACTTGGTTCACTCTTCAACGTCCGTGTGTCCCCGTAGTGGGGTGGGGGTGGGGCTCCGGTCTCTTAAAGGCGACGTCGTGCGGCACTGGTGGTGGTGGTGGTGGTGGTGGGGTTTCAGTGTTGCAGTTCGAGCAGCTCTACCTGCAGAGGCTTCCCTGCGCGGAAATGTACGAAAAGAGCTACATGCACCGCGACCATGTCACGCACACGGCAATATCGCGCAAGGACTTTTTCATCACGGCCAGCAAAGATGGGCACGTCAAGTTTTGGAAGAAGAAGCCCGAGGGCATCGAGTTTGTAAAACACTTCCGTGCCCACGTTGGTTTGCTCCCCCCCCCTCTTCCCCCTCTACTCCAGCGCCAACCAAGGCATCGCGCTGCTCACACACCCGCCTCTCAAATAATACTGATACTTCTAATGTTACCTACTACGGCAACCTACTACCTACTACCTACTGACTATGATGGTACAGGACCCGTGGCGGGCTTGGCGGTGAGTCGCGACGGGACACTGTTGTGCACCAGCTCGCTCGACAAGACTCTCAAGATATTCGACATCACCGGCTTTGGTACCCTTACCCCCTTTTGTGGCCCCTGCTTCCTCTACCAGCGAGCAGCGCTAGCACCCACAGCACCGTCTGACACGTCCCGTGGTATCTATCGGCTATCTATCGTTGGTGCCGCGGCGGCGTGAGCAGACATGATCAATATGATCTCGCTGCCCTTCGTGCCGGGGGTGTGCGAGTGGGTAACGCAGAGGGCAACGGGGCGGCCTCTCCTGGCGGTGGCGAGTGCCGAGGGTCCGGAGATCTACCTGTATTCGATCAACCCCGACGTGGTGGACGACGTGCCCACACCCAAGCACGTGGTCCGCGTCCATTCCGCGCCAGGTGACAACACCCCGCCCCCGCTTCGCCCCAGATAAACCCCCGCCACCTGCTGCGTTCTCATGCGTGTGCGTCTTGTCGGGTGTGGGGTGGGGAACCATGTGGTCCATCACAGTGCGCCTGATGAAGTCGAATGACGCGTTCGAGGCCGTGGTCTCTGTGGACGGCAAGGGCATGGTGGAGTATTGGTCGGCGAACGATTTCGCCTTCCCGAGCAGCACCGTCAAGTTCGCCTACAAGACCGACACCGACCTCTACGAGTTTGCCAAGTGCAAGACACTGCCCGTCTCCCTCGAGTTCAGCCCCGATGGACGTCTCTTTGCCACCATGTCGCATGACAGGCAGGTGCGTGCTTGCGCCCATGCCTCGCGTCCCCACCAGCCGCCAGCCGCCAGCCACCACCGCCAGCCACCACCACTCCCGCGGTCCGCCCACGGCCACATGTGATCTCCCTCACCTGGCCTGGTGGTGCTCGCAGTGCGTCTCACTCCGCGCACGTCCTCTCTCTCCACCGCCACTTCAACTCTTTTCTCCCAACAGGTGCGCATCTTTAGGTTTCTCACGGGCAAGGTCAGCAGAACCTACAACGAGTCTCTCAGCGTGTTTGTAGACGCGCAGAGGGACGGCTCCTCGCCGTACAGGCTCGACCCCATCGACTTTGGGCGCCGGTACCCCCCCTTCTCCTCCCTCTCCTCCGCGTCTATCTACCAGTGTGTGTCGTGTGTCGTATGTCGTGTCGTGTCGTGTCGTCATTTACAGTGCGCGCACACACTATTGTCATCTTTTTGGTTCTTAAAGGTTGCTGTCGCAAAACAAAGCTCATCGTATCGTTGTTGTGCAACGTGCAGTGTGGCCGTGGAGAAGTCATTGGATGTGGCCAAGGACAAAGCGCCGCCCTCCAACGTCATTTTCGATGACAGCGGCAACTTTGTGTTGTATCCGACAATGGCTGGCATCAAGGTGGTGAACCTGGTCACCAACCAGCTGGTCAGGCTCATCGGCAAGGTAAGTAGTGGTCGTTACCTCTCTTTTTTCTCCCATCCTTTACCGTGGCGGCGGGTGTTTGTGTTTGAGGCTACGACCTCAATTCTTTGTGTGTGTGTGTGTGTGTGTGGGAAACGACAGGTGGAGGCGACGGAGCGTTTCCTGGCGATCGCGCTGTACCAGGGGCGCACGCAGGGGTCGGTCGAGACGGGGGACATGCGGGCGGATGCGGAGGAGGATCCCACGCTGGTGTGCGCTGCGTTCAAGAAGGGCCGCTTCTACCTCTTCAGCCGCCGGGAGCCGGAGGAGGGGGAGGACATTCTGCACGGCGGGCGGGATGTTTTCAACGAGCGTCCGCCCAAGGACGAGGCGGTGGCGGCTGCCAAGCCCATCGCGAGTCACCTGGGGTCGGCGGCGGTCATCCACACGACGATGGGCGACATTCACGTGCAGCTGTTCCCCGTCGAGTGTCCCAAGACCGTGGAGAACTTTGCCACCCATTCGCGGAACGGCTACTACAACGGTCTCCTCTTCCACCGTGTCATCCGGGGCTTCATGGCTCAAACCGGCGACCCGCTCGGTGACGGCACTGGCGGCACCTCCATCTGGGGTTCCGACTTTGAGGACGAGTTCCACCCCAAGCTCCGCCACGACAGGCCCTTCACCGTCTCCATGGCCAACGCTGGACCCAACACCAACGGCTCCCAGTTCTTCATCACCACCGCCGCCATCCCTCGCCTAGACGGCAAGCACACCGTCTTTGGCCGCGTCACCAGGGGCTCCGAGGTCGTGCTCGCCCTCGAGAAGGTCAAGACCGACAAGAACGACAAGCCCCTCA